GGGCTGTTGCACATGAGACCATTTCAGTTGTGGCTAAAAGCCAGAGGATTTCATCCAAGAGCCAATCCTCAAAGGCACATCAAAGTGACGCGCCGCGGGCTTCGTACACTATCTCTGTGGGTCAGACCCCGGTTCCTTGCCTTGGGTCCCACTCTGGGGGCGCCGTGTCGTCGCAGACTGCTAACGACGGACGCCTCCCTGATGGGCTGGGGAGCGGTCTTAGATGGCCGTCCAGCTCAAGGGGAATGGGAAGGTCATCAGCTCGATTGGCACATCAATTGCCTCGAGTTGATGGCCGTATTTCTGGCTCTGAAATATTTTCTCCATCAATTGAGGGGCTGTCATGTCCTAGTGCGGGTGGACAACACAGCAGCAGTCTCTTATATAAATCACCAGGGGGGTCTGCGCTCACGCAATCTGAACAGAATAGCGAGGCAGATTTTTCTCTGGGCCCAGGACAAGTTCCTGTCACTCAGGGCAGTATACATTCCAGGGCATTTGAATGTGGGAGCAGATTTACTGTCCAGACAGACACTACCGACAGGGGAATGGAAACTCCACCCGGAAGTAGTGAAACAGATTTGGACCAAATTTTACAAAGCAGAGGTGGACCTCTTCGCCTCCCAGCAGACAGCGCAATGTCCCCTCTACTTCTCTCTGAGTCACCCAGCTCCATTGGGTCTGGATGCGATGGCGCACTCATGGCCCAAGATGCGCCTGTATGCGTTTCCTCCAGTTTCTTTGCTCCCGGGAGTTCTAGCCAGAGTTCGCCAACAAGGGTCTTGCCTCTTGCTGATAGCGCCACGTTGGCCGAACAGAGTGTGGTTCTCGGAGATAATATCTCTCCTCGACGGCTCGCCTTGGGCGATTCCGGAGAGGAGGGACCTTCTGTCTCAGGCGGAGGGCACGATATTCCATCCCAGGCCCGACCTGTGGAATCTTCATGTTTGGCCCCTGATGGGAACCAACTGAGGGACACTGGGCTTTCGCCTGCTGTTATTGAGACTATTCTGAGTGCTAGGGCTTCCTCCACTAGACAAAGTTATGCCAGTAAATGGGGTGTTTTTGAAAGGTGGTGTGTTGTACACAATGTAGATCCAGTCAACTGCCAGGTTGCTTCAGTTCTGGACTTCATGCAAGAGAAATTATCAACAGGCACATGCCCTGCTACTCTTAAGGTTTATGTGGCCGCTCTTTCGGCTTGCCACGCCTTGGTTGACGGGGCGCCGCTCGGGAGACATCCTCTGCTCTCTCGCTTCCTTCGTGGGGCCAGGCGACTGAGGCCTCCAGTAAAAACCAAGATCCCTTCGTGGGATTTAGCTATAGTCCTCGAGGGTCTGGTTGAAACCCCCTTTGAACCTATAGAGTCAGCGTCTGATAAACTTCTGACTCTAAAAATGGTTTTTCTAATGGCAATAACTTCCTTGAAGAGAATTGGGGATATGCAGGCTCTGTCTATCTCTCCATCCTGCTTAGACTTTGCCCCAGGAATGGTGAAAGTAATTTTGCATCCTCATCCTGATTACCTGCCTAAGGTTCCATTTTCGTCTGTACATCCGGTCATTCTAGAAGCCTTCTGTCCTCCACCGTTTACAACGCCGGAGCAGGAGAAATCTCATAGACTGTGTCCAGTCCGTGCTCTTCAGGCTTACATCCACCGCACTAGCCAGTGCCGTAAGTCAGAGCAATTATTCGTCTGTTATGGTGGTAGTAACAGAGGAGGAGCTGCCACCAAGCAGACCATGTCTCATTGGGTCAGGGATGCAATTGCTTTGGCTTATGAGGCGCGCGGTCAAGCTTCGCCTATAGGTCTCAGAGCTCACTCTACCAGGGGGGTCGCTTCTTCTAGTGCTTTGGCGAGGGGTGCCCCCTTACAACAGATTTGTGATGCGGCAGGTTGGTCCTCTCCGCACACATTCATAAGGTTTTATAGTTTGGATGTTCATGCCACTCCGGGCTCTCATGTCCTTGAGTCAACATCACAGGCTAGTGTCTGAGGCCTTCTTGCGTTCTTGTGAGCACATGCACAACCGTTGGGGTCCAGACATGTTCAAGCACGGCGGCGTGGGTATTCTCGTTCCCAATGCGCTGAGCAGCGCAGCATCGATTGTAGCTTTCGAAAGGGAACGATCTCGGTTACTTCACTGTAACCTTGTTCCCTGAGAAAGCGGAACGAGATGCTGCGCTACTTTGCCGTGCTGAAGATGTCCCAGGACTGCTCTTCAGACAAAATATCCTGACGATGCACCTGCGGCTCATCTATTTATAGCCTCGTGTTGCGGGTGCGCGCCGATGACGTCATCGACCGAGGCTATATTACCTCCGGGTCAATTCTATCGACGTGTTACACACAATATTCACAGCTGGTCACAACTAAAGACGTTCCCAATGCGCTGAGCAGCGCAGCATCTCGTTCCGCTTTCTCAGGGAACAAGGTTACAGTGAAGTAACCGAGATCGTTCAGTTTAGCTCAGTTCAGTTTAGCTCAGTTCAGTTCATGGCCCAACACAGGAAACCGGCACATTCCCTGTCTTCCTCCGGGCGGGTCGCCTGTTCCTTCTGTGAGACTGTTTTCATCAACACACAATGGGAAAGTCCTCAGAGTGACATTCAGAGCCTTTCCTCCGTGTGTTTATGAGTTTGTGTGGCCGCTGTGAACACCTGATGTTGTCATTATGAAAGGTACTGAGAATAATATTCAGATTCCAAATGTATGTATATATATATATATCAGTTTTTGAGAAACAGTCCTTCCTCTGGTGATTTACAAAAGCATGTTGCCAATTATTGCTTTTGTATTCTGTAGCTGAGAATGATGAGTAACTTTCATGATGACTTCTTTCAGATAAAGTGAAAGGTATTCAGTGTTTTTGGCTATTAAATGTCTTCTGTAGTCGGTTGTACATGTGTGTGGTCTGAATACAGCGGCAGATCCGTTCTTTATTCCATGTTATTCATGACACTTATCTGTAATGTTTTGTCCTATGTGTGCTTTTCCAAAAACTGATTCGGTCATCATTTACTCATCCTCATGTCGCTCCAAACCTGAATTTATTTCTTCTGTGAAACACAAAAGAAAATGTTTTGAAGAGTGTTTTGGTGCCCACTGACTTCCATTGATCTTCTTTTATGCTACACTGAAGAAAGTCACGCATGTTTGGAATGACACAAGTCGAAAAAATAATTTTCATTTTTGGGTGAGCAATCCTTTTGATTACTATTAAATAATTTTAAATTAGCAATGTATTATGTTTAATTATGTATACTGACAAAATCTGAGTAGCTTACAATATGTCAATATGTCCCCCGATTCCATCTGTTCTTATGAAATGATTTGTCTTTACTGCGCACTTGGTATATTAACTCTGCAACAAGAGCTCATTTTTCAGCTACCTGCTTTAAAGCCAGAAGATCGTCTGCTGAAGCATTTTACCGCGGTAAGGACCACCCTGTCTCAGCCCGCCATGCCAATCTGAGCGACCAGATTCAAAGGCTTTCCTTGGAGTGTCATTGAAGCTCATTCATGTTGACCTACATCAAGCCCAAACATTATAAACAGCAGACGCCTGGCGTGGGACTGAAACCCAAACTCGTCTGGCTCTGGTTCCACCTGACAGTCAGAGCAAATCTGCCAAGAACGGCCCTTCAGCGCCCAGCCTATCCTACAACAGCAGCCGAAAGCAAGCTCCAAATATATGAGCAAAAGAACATAAATAAAGTATTTTTTCCCTCAGATCTTTAGTGCCGATCCCAAAAACAATACGAGACTCTTCTCAGGAGGACGGACACAAGGTCTGGCGGTCAGACAGAGCAAAAAGACGGCTTCTGAAAGGACATCAAAGTAAAAGAAGCTGCATTTGTTGTCAAACAGTACAGTGAACATAAGATCAGAGATCCCATCGGACCATTACAACAACTGTTTTTATTGGATGGGTGGGTGGGTGTTTGGATGGATGGATGGGTGGATGGATGGACATCAAAGTAAAAGATTTGCTTCCATCCACCCACCCAAAGTAATGGATGGATGGATGGATGGATGGGTGGATGGATGGGTGGATGGATGGGTGGGTGGATGGATGGATGGGTGGGTAGATGGATGGATGGATGGGTGGATGAGTGGGTGGGTGGATAGATAGATAGATAGATAGATAGATAGATAGATAGATAGATAGATAGATAGATAGATAGATAGATAGATAGATAGATAGATAGATAGATAGATAGATGGATGGATGGATGGATGGATGGATGGATGGATGGATGGATGGATGGATGGACATCAAAGTAAAATATTTGCTTCCATCCACCCAAAGTAGTGGGTGGGTGGGTGGGTGGATGGATGGATACATGGTTGGTTGGGTGGATGGATGGATGGATGGATGGGTAGGGGGTGGGTGGGTGGATGGGCGGGTGGATGGATGGATGGATGGATGGATGGATGGATGGATGGATGGGTGGGTGGGTGGGTGGGTGGGTGGATAGATGGATGGATGGGTGGGTGGGTGGGTGGGTGGGTGGATAGATGGATGGGTGGGTGGATGCATGGATGGGTGGGTGGGTGTTTGCATGCTCCTCTGAGTGGCTCTGCTCGTGGATGGGCTGGTGAACCCATGGATGGGTGGGTGGGTGAATGGATGGAAGGATGGATGGATGGATGGATGGATGGATGGATGGATGGGTGGGTGGAGGGATGGATGGGTGGGTGGAGGGATGGATGGATGGGTGGATGGATGGGTGGATGGATGGATAGGTGGGTGGATGGATGGATAGGTGGGTGGAGGGATGGATAGATGGATAGGTAGGTGGGTGGATGGATAGATGGATAGGTGAGTGGATGGATGGGTGGTTGGATAGATAGATAGATAGATAGATAGATAGATAGATAGATAGATAGATAGATAGATAGATAGATAGATAGATAGATAGATAGATAGATAGATAGATAGATAGATGTGTAGTATGCGTGATCATGAGTGTTTTGGTGAAGGGTCGCTAGGCACCTGATGTCATTTCCTGCAGTCTGATTAATGGACGTCAGTGAGTCGTTCTGAAGGGGATCCGGGGGGTTTGGAGGAGTTTGGCAGAAAGCGTCCCGTCGGTCTCTCTCCTCTGAGTGGCTCTGCTCGTGATCGAGAGGGTGTACAGAGGGGTGGAGGGGGGATCTGATCTGAGGGTCACTGAGTTGTGGATTCATGGACACAGGGTCGTTCTGAGGAGAAGCTCTGGAGTTCTCACTCTCTATCTGAGACTCTACACAGAGAACATCACTTCCTGTTACCACACAGGACACGTCTAACCAAAGGGTTTCACTAACACTAATCACACAACAACAGTGACACACCCACAGAAACAACATACATGAGCAGGACAACGGCACACACACACACACACACACCGTCAAACCAGGAACAAGCCACGGCAGGAGAGGGGGATGGAAAGGAAAGAGTTATACAACAGAGAGGAGGGATGAAAAGAAAAGAAAACAAAAACAATTACATTGTGTGTGTTTTCCACTTATTGACAATATACAGTGGCAGGGATTTAGCTAGTTTTACTGTATACTGACAAATATTCTTCTGTTAGAAATGTTTTATTTCAATTGTATGTCGATATTTAGATTCAATTGTGAAGAAAATATGAGCAGAAATACGAGCATCTTAGTATGCGATTCCAAACGGTAAATAAGGACATAGATATAAACCGCACTGAAACACAGATTATCAATGATACATTAGCATGGTGTTTATCCAGCTGATGTGAATAAGCTTTGAGTATATATGAGTGTGTGTGTTGATCCTGTCAGTCTGACGGTTGTTCTGGATCACAGCACAGCAGCCTGAAGCTCAGGCAATGAATGCTCACATCTGGATCAAATCAACCGCCCTCTCAAACATCTGCACTACAAAATCAATGCAAACAAATAAAACAGAAAAAAAAAAACTAGGGATGCACGATATTGGATTTGCCCGATACCGATATATTTTCTCTCCTGTGCAGGGATTCTAAAAAATATATTTTTCATTTCGGTTAGTTTTGAGAAAACTCACTGAACCATTAGTTTTGAGAACTAACACATTATTAAAGTTCTTTTTATAATGAGAGTACATTTAAATATTAGAAGCAATAATAATAAAGTCAATCACTGCTGATTTGTTTTCAGACAGATGCAGATTTAACCTTAATATTTTTTTTTGTGGATTTAATATTTGTAGGTGATCTACTGCAAAAGAGCTGTAAAACAATTCAGAAAATCTTTTAGATTTTCATAATCCGTCTGAAAAAAAAAATATTACACATTAATTAATAAAACTGTATATTATTTAAAACTATAGCTTCTGATCTTTAAATCAAATCAGATTCATGATTTTATGACATCAGAAACACAAGTATCTTAATGTTTTATGTGTATTTTACTTGTCATTTGATTAGTCTATCAAGTATGCCAACAGCGCCCCCTACAGAAATAAAACTCTTCAACGGGCGGGCATTAGGACCTGGGGGAGGCTGTTGCTCAAGCCCAGCGCAGCGATCCAAAACACTGAATCTAATCGCCATTCAGGCTAAAGTTCGCTTCAAGAATGACCAGACAGCAGACATACTCATATCACGAGCACTCCTTCAGCACGTGAGTTACTGCAGAGGCATAATCAACATTATCGGCAATGCGATGCCGATGTTTACATTTTAAGCCGTTATTGGTTGATTCCAATGACTTGCGATAATATCTTGCATCCCTACAAAAAAACATTCTTCCCTTAAAGTCCCCCTGTGGTGAGAATCCAGCGTTTAATGTTGTTTATGTGTCTATGTGGTGTTTTTAATACGCTTTAAGACACACCGGGCCCTATTTTAACGATCTGAAACGCAAGTGTCAAAGCGTAAAGTGCAAGTAACTTTGTGGGCGCTGTTGCTATTTTCCCGGCGGGATAAATGCCTCTTGCGCCTGGCGCAAATCTAAAAGGGGTTGGTCTGAAGTAGCTTCATTATTAATAGGTGTGGTTTGGGCGTAACGTGAAATAAACCAATCAGAGCGTCATCTCACATTCCCTTTAAGAGCAGGTGCGCTTGTTCTAAAGCGGATTCCTATTATAACGGCGGATTTACCAGGCGCGCGTCAGGAGCGGTTCACAGCCGAGGAGAGCAACGTTCTCGTCAGAGAAGTGACATTGGGGATGGAGAAACCCACCCAAATTAACTTCTGTTAAACAGGCGTATGTTAATTTGGGTAAATGTGTAAGCTACAAGCTTTTATAATAAATTGTCTTTCTATCTATCTATCTATCTATCTATCTATCTATCTATCTTTCTATCTATCGTAATAATGTATGATTTGCAAAAATGAAAACTGCTGCTTAGATGAGAGAATCAAAGTGTATGCGCGTTGTGCACACGCTACATTGATTATGGCCAAGCATGCGCCCTTAAAATAGCATAATGAACAACGCGCAACGCGCCACTGACTTAAGACTAGTTTTTTTCTGGTCAGTGGCGCAATTGTTTTATAGAACAGCAAAATAGCATGAGGGAAAGTTTGCGCCGGAACACGCCTCCTCTTGTATTTCTTAGTTAACCGACGTGTGTCTGTGGAGGGAAAAACCCGCTTTGCGCGGGTGCAAAATAGGAATGAGACATGCGTCAGTGTACAAAGTCATTTGCGCCGAGTGCAAGATAGAGCCCTGCATGTGTAAGTTCATAAGTCGACAGCATTGCTGAGTATTTTCTGCTTAAAACTGCAGTGAACCAAAGACAGTCTCAAAAACACGGCTTGAAATCGCTGGTGTTTCTGACGTCACAAACGACCTTGTAACCAATCAGATCAACGTGTGATCGTCAACAAGTGGATTTTTGAGCTGAGTGAGTGAGTGGAGGCGGGGCTCATTTGCATATTCATAGAACCACGAATACTAAATGAGGCAAGGGTGTCAAGTTACATTCAAACTGTGAACAAAGATAGTTTTATGGGATTAAATCATTGACTACAGGGGGACTTTAAGTTCTCATGATTTTACAATCGACTTACAAATTAGGTTTTCATTCTGTTTTATGAGAATAGATGAATTTCAGCTGTTTTGCATGCTGTAAAAGTATCTTTGTGGAGTTTGGCAAACAGAGTCTCGAGAGAAGACAGACCATCTCGAAACACCATAAATATCTTGGCAGCTGAAAGGGGGAAAATGAGGGTTGCTTAATTTATTTATTTGTTTGTTTATTTTATTATCTATAAAACCGCAGAGGATTGGGATTTCAGCGCAGGTACAGAGAGTTTGAACTATGTGAGGCCAAACATGACACCACTTATTTCTATGATAAGAAAGAATAATGATGTGCTGATTTGTTTCAGAATGATAAAAAGAAGCAAAACCCTGACAAAAGTGGTTCTCAGAACTGGTCTGATGCCTGATCTTTGACCCACTGACACTAAAGTAGTCTCGTCTGGAGCGCAGCCGTTATTCCCCTTTACTCTTTACACATGTCAGCTGGACTCAAAAACTCTTGGAGCCCAAAGAGAATATTTATTTCAGGAGCGAGTCATTGTCCAAATGAAAACAACACTTCTACTGGTGAATCAATCGGTTTATCAACACACCAGTGTCTCCGACTCACCTGAAAGGCCTCTCCCCTCCGACAGGTGAGGTTGTGCTGCTCCAGCTTCTGCAGCTGTCGTCTCGGTCTGCGCGCGGGCGGCGCACCGGCGCGGGCATGAACGTGCCCTGGTTAGCCTTGTTGGGCAGGTACTGGTTGAAAGGAAGGGCGATCCGTGGCTCGCTGACGGACGTTCTCCGCACCAGCATGTCGTCCTTGCGCACGTCCGGCATCTTCCTCTGGGGGGCGTCGCTCTCCGAGTCGCTGCCGCGGCCTGCAGCGGGACAACCAGAGCGAATGAATGAAGCGTCTGGCAGTGTTACAGTCATCTGATGGTAGAACTGCGTTAGTGGTTAAAGAGCTCAGCTAAAACCCCAAAAGTTTTAGGTTCAAATCTAACCAGGCCCGTTCTTCGAGGAGAAAAACCGCTTCAGATTTACTAGTGATGCCAACCGAAAATATTGAAAAATGGTTTTGGAGTGCCGGAATTATTGACTGAAACAGTGACATTTAATTAACGGATTTTGACCATGTCAATGACTACATTTACATACTCCCCCATAATGTGATTATAATGGGATTTTGGCAATATAGCAATTCATCTTTACCTTGCGCTAAGGGAGATTAAGCTAATTGTAGTAACCATAACCAAAGTGTGTCTGTTCTCGGACGCACACGGATGCCATGTGTTGTTCACACATCTCAACTTTGTGTCATTATTAATAATCCAATATCTAATGCTAACCCTTCAGACGACACACAGCTCATATCTCTGCCGCTGGAAGTTACCAGAACACACAGCGCACGGTAGACACACGTTTGCAGAGCAGCTCTCGCACTGTATGGCGTGATCCAGTCCGGATCCGTTCACACTGCATGGGTTCTCTGAGAATACGAGTTCTGGAAATGTACAGGTGTGAGCTCAGTTATAGAATGTGGTTGTCACTCCATAAATATCTGAACTGTGTGTGAACATAACCGTAACCAGACTCAAATACAGGACTGACAACCGTATTCTCATGGCCAAAGTCTACTCCATGCACACAATGTCAGCAGTGTATTTTAGGTTTTGACTTTCGGCTAAATAAAATTTTTTATTTTGGTTTTAGTATTTCTTTGGTTTCGGGCATTGAATGCACAGACAAGAAACCCACATTTTCACAAGAAAATGCAAAAAATCTCGTCAGGAATAAACTATAAACAGCTGGTGAACTGGCGTCAGGGTTCATTGATGCACGTGGGGAGCGAAGGCAAGTCCGTTTGGTCTAATCACACGGAACAGATACTGCAGCTCAAACTCAATATTGCCCATGATAGAAAGAGAGCCGATCCGAGAGCCTGTGATGACCCCTGTCCACCGTCCACAGCTCCTACAACACGTACAGCCCTTCCTAACACTGGTGTTCACTAGTCGAAGCGGCTCTTTCAGCAGGATAACACACCTGCCACACCGCACATAGTGTTCAGGAACGCTATGAGGAACATGATGAAGAGTTCAAGGTGTTGCCCTGGCCTCCAGATTGCCCAGATCTGTGGGATGTGCTGGACCGACACCACCTCACAAGATCTTAAAGCAGACTTCTGCAATCCTGCTACTGGAGGGCCACTGTCCTGCAGTTTAGCTCCAACCTGCTTCAGCACTCCTGTCTTTGTTTTTCAAGTGATCCTGAAGAGCTTGAAGAGCTGGTTCAGGTGTGTTTGATTAGGGTTGGAACTAAACTCTGCAGGACAGTGGCCCAATGTCTTTGTTCCAGAAACAACAGGACACGTCCAGAGGTCTTGTGGAGTCCACGAGGGGGACCTACACGATATTAGGCTGGTGGTTTTAATTGTTTAATGAAAATGTAATGTGTATATCGCTGGAGATTTCATTGGGTAAATAAAATAGAAAACTGAACTTCAGTAAATGGAGAAGCTCTGACGGGGCCAAATCAGAGAACATTCTTTGGTTGTGGTGCCTCTGAGGCTTTCCGATATCTGCCACTCCAAACATTATCTCAAGCACCCTGGAGTGTGGGCAAACAGCTATGTAAAACCACTTGAGCCTGTGGCTGCATTTGAGAGGACTGATGCAGAATATTCTGAGGACCTGATGTTTAAGTAGATTATGGTTTCCAAGTCCTCTAGACTTTATAAAGCTGATTTACCCGAGTTAAGAGCTGTTTTAAGGAGCACCTGCATAAACATTGACCTTCCACTGTAACTCTCTGGTTACACTTTATTTTGAAAGACCACTTTAGACATGCTACTAACTATAAGTAACTTTTCAACTACATGTCAACTAACTCTCATTAGAGTATTAGTAGCCTGTAGTAGACTGTCAGTAGACTGGTAGGTTATGGTTAGGTGTTAGGGTTCGGTTAGGATTAGGAGAATAAGTTGACTTGTAGTTGCCAAGTTACTTATAGTCAGTAGAATGTATGTTGAGGGACCAACAAAATAAAGTGTTAGCAAATATTAAGCAGACAGTCTACTAATCCTCTAATGACAGTTAGTCATGTAGCTGCAAAGTTACTTATAGTTAGTAGAATGTCTAAAGTGGACTATCTCATTAAAGTGTTAGCACCTCTCCTCCTCACATTCCCAGGCCAGCTGCTCTGCACATGTCTGACCGACAGCTTCTGTGGCTCAGGGTTAAACACACACCAGTCAAGATGATGACTGATGGTGCATGTCACATCACACACACCTCTTGACATAAGCAGTAAACACATACTGTATGGCTAGTGAGACGCAATAGTCTCTGTCGACACATGATGGTACTGCAGGGAAAGGAGATTTTCACAGACATAAGGTTTTTCCCAACAATCTTATAGCAGATGTTGTCGCTAAAAGTCTTAAATAGAAATATAAAATGTAGAGCAGAATAGAGTAGCTATAAAACCAATGTTGAATAGCTCACTTAACTTGGTCTTGACAGAATTTGATGAGAAATATCTCAAAAAGATGAGTTCATAAATGCCTCATGAGAGCAAAAGCAGCGGAAGACTTTTAGCCGCAGTATACTGCCCTACAAAGCAAAAAGGCACTAACTACGCAGAGTGCAGAACAGAGAAAAATGACTTTAAAGTTATCCTGTCATCCAGCCTAAGTAGTTGTAGGTAGATTATTGGACATGTGGCTGTTTTGTTACTTTATATTAGCTTATTCTTTGTACATATCAATCCTCATATTTAATTTGATATTTTACCCCTATTTTGCAGTTACTGTATTCTTGCTTTGTATTACTTACCAAAAACGTGGCACCATACGAAGGGAAAAGGCAGTAACTACAGATTCTCCCAAAACTACTTTGCCAAAACTTGGGCTCTGGGTCTGATACACTGTGTTTGAAATAAATGGAACCATTTGGACAACATTTTCAAAAAATTTGTGTTGCGAAACTAGTGTTGCAGTGCGGGCGTGTTACGGATATGTGGTGTACATTTTTAGTAATCAAAAATCATGTCTAATTAATTGAAATCATGAAACTTTTATTATAAACTATTATTAAACTTAGACAACATTTTAAAAACAAACATTTTTGGTCAAACAACATGCTGCACAATGAGCTTTACTGTTAAAATTAAAACATTGAAGAAAAATTAAGTTTTAATCTTAATTTATTTGTATTAGTGTTAGTATTATTATTACATTGAGACGTTTCTAAATTCTACTGTACAGCAGTAATATATTTCTGTCAAGTTAAACCCATAGACTAAAAAAATAGGTTAAACCGAACTTTTATTTTGACGGGTTGCCGTGAAGACCGTGTCCTCATATAGGCAAAAAAAACAGCTCGAGCGTTACACACGTGCTTCGTGTGTGTGTGTTAGTTTGGTAGGGGAACAATTAAGGGAAACACTGCATCTCAAACTAAATTTGTGTGAAGTTAGAAGCGTGAAATCGCAAATGTTAAAACCGTCCCGTGAGGATGCCGCGAAATCAGCTGTGTGTTCACCATGGCAACAGTAACTACACTGCGCAGCAACACGGTTATTTTTTGTTAGGTAAAACATAACAAGAATGCAGTAATGGATGTTACTGTACTCTTGCTTTGTTTCACTAGGGCTTTTTGCAGTTACTGTACAAACGACTACCATTTTTCTCCAAAACGACACACATTTGAGATAAGATGTTTTGTCACATAACAAAGGATGCCTTGAATGTCATGAAAATGATAATAACTCATTTTTGACCAAAAATGCAGTTACTGCCTTTTTGCTTTGTAGGGCAGTATACACTACTCAACTAGTCATCTAACTACTGTGCGGGCAGATGCAGTCTGATGTAGTCTGATGTAGCCTGATGCAGTCTGATGCAGTCTGATGTAGCCTGATGTAGTCTGATGCAGTCTGATGTAGCCTGATGTAGTCTGATGTAGTCTGATGTAGTCTGATGTAGCCTGATGTAGTCTGATGTAGCCTGATGTAGTCTGATGCAGTCTGATGTAGCCTGATGTAGTCTGATGTAGTCTGATGCAGTCGGATGTAGCCTGATGTAGCCTGATGTAGTCTGATGCAGTCTGATGTAGCCTGATGTAGTCTGATGTAGTCTGATGCAGTCTGATGTAGCCTGATGTAGTCTGATGTAGCCTGATGTAGCCTGATGTAGTCTGATGTAGCCTGATGTAGTCTGATGCAGTCTGATGTAGCCTGATGTAGCCTGATGCAGTCTGATGTAGCCTGAAGTAGTCTGATGCAGTCTGATGTAGTCTGATGTAGCCTGATGTAGTCTGATGCAGTCTGATGTAGCCTGATGTAGCCTGATGCAGTCTGATGCAGTCTGATGTAGCCTGATGTAGTCTGATGCAGTCTGATGTAGCCTGATGTAGTCTGATGTAGTCTGATGCAGTCTGATGTAGCCTGATGTAGCCTGATGCAGTCTGATGCAGTCTGATGTAGCCTGATGTAGTCTGATGCAGTCTGATGTAGCCTGATGTAGTCTGATGTAGTCTGATGCAGTCTGATGTAGTCTGATGTAGCCTGATGCAGTCTGATGCAGTCTGATGTAGCCTGATGTAGTCTGATGCAGTCTGATGTAGCCTGATGTAGTCTGATGCAGTCTGATGTAGCCTGATGTAGTCTGATGTAGCCTGATGTAGCCTGAAGTAGTCTGATGCAGTCTGATGTAGTCTGATGTAGCCTGATGTAGTCTGATGTAGCCTGATGTAGTCTGATGTAGTCTGATGTAGCCTGATGTAGTCTGATGCAGTCTGATGTAGCCTGATGCAGTCTGATGTAGCCTGATGTAGCCTGATGTAGTCTGATGTAGTCTGATGTAGTCTGATGTAGC